TACGATCGCAGCGGATGCGGAGTGTCTCATTTGAGATGAAGTCGCTATACTTCACGCTATACATCACGTTCCACGGGCATGGAAAAGGTGCCTCTCGCGTAAGTGAGAAGCGTTCTCTTTGGCTCTATTTCCATGTGACCAGAATGATACTAACACGCGTGTGATCTGAGTAACTGACTGTTTGTGGTAAATACTTGTCTTGCGTGGAGGCACATGTCGTGTGTGGCAAGCACAAACAATCCATCCTGACTCTTTCGGCCATTTGCGCTCTTTTCAAACATTAATAGCCTGACTTGCTCAGATAATCGATTATTGCCTGTGATGGGTATGAGAGTAAGGTAAACTCTGAGAGTTCGTCCCCAATGTGCTCAACACATACTCATCACTATAAACAACCTCTCTTGCTTGAATCTATCACGGTGTACAAAAAGCCAGGGCTTAAAAGGTTGGCAACTGATGGATTGACCCGGTCTCCTCAGGACAGAAAGTCAGGCTTAATTGGGCCCCCTCTTAGTGTGGCCTCTATGGCACGCCCATTCATTTGGTATCGGAGGCGCTCCTCATTCTTGTGCGGGAAAATCTGATCCAATTTGCGAGGACTGGGTGTGCGTAGCACGTAAAGACGGACTGATCAGTTCTGATCCTTTTCAATATGGCACGACACCGGGCTCAGGTGGATGAGGAAGGAGATAACGCAGTAGATGCTGGGCATTTCTTCTATCAATACAAATTAATTCACACACAAGTAACCGTCCCTGCACTTACCATGCCGTGGGGCTAAATCTGGATTAAATAGTTCCTGTCAGTTGTGCCTGCGGACAAAATCCGCCCAGCGGTCACTTCGTGGCAGAGTTTGACTTACTTGCAAGGGCTGCGCCCAGTCAATTAATGAAATTACTAGTCACGCAGATGTTCGTAAATCAGAGCTGCTAGGGAAGTGAACTGGTGAGCATGACCGTTTGGCGACTCCGAACTTTTCAGTTCAGGTGAGAACAACTCGATGCAATTTTAAGCGATATTAAGACAAAGCCAGGATATTAACAGCAGCATAAACGAAACCTATGTACAAAACAATCAAAGGTTTGTGCAATTTCAGTTTTCGGTCCATATGTAATTACATTTCATACAAGAATATTTTACAGTGCTCGGTTCATCTGCTGATCTGGTTTGCATTTGCACAAAATAAGCCCTGTTGTGGCCACATTTAGGACATCTCTCTTCTATTTGAGCAGAGGAGCTATATGCATCAGCAGCCGAGAATATTGCATCCTCCTCAAGCTTCAGCCTCTCGTCGGCACGAGGAATATGGTCTTCGACGAACGGCGAAGTGACGTACCACTGGTAGGCGCAGCAGGGATCAGTACAATTCAGAGAGTAACAGTGTGCCGATTCTTCGATAGAAAGCAAAGAACTACATAACGGGCAAAATAAAACGGGCATTGAGCAAGGTGTAGGTGGTAGTGACTAGTAGCACCTCCGAATTTGTCAGCCAAAGACAATTGTAAGGACCTTCTAATAGTCGAGTTAAAGGAGTCCAAGATCGCAAGGGCGCTCTAAAGACGACGAGTTGTCTATCCAAACAGGTCCACGCGAACGAAACCAATTTATGAAAACACAACTAAAGGACCAATGTGTAAAAGCAACCAGTGCTCTAAAAAACAAAGATAGGTTAAAAAGTAAACGAATAAAAAATATTACGAATGGACAGATGATCCAACAAATAATTTAAAAAAATACAATTTTCATCGGTTATTTGATTGAAAACTCTTGCTAGGCCCATGAAGGCGTGTAATCGACGGCTGGGCATCTTACTCGCCTTTCGTTTTGTATTAAACACAAAGCTCAGATGTAAGAGTC